CTCTTCATCCTCCTCTTCATCCCTGAAGATGTCTTCATAGGCGGGAACTTCAAGGTCATCATCTTGTTTAATGAGTAATTTGATCTAAGTTCAAAACAAAAAGGAATTAAGCCTCTCCTCTTTCTACGGAAAACTACACAATATGTTCTTCTGCAGAATCTTATCATTTCCTAAAAAGCTGACTCAGTTTCCTGTTCATACAAATAGCTACCAATTTAATAAGAGTTCCAGGCTTCCAAGGAATTTTCTTGTTTTCATTACCAGTGAGGCATCAGAGTTACACCATATGTGGTATGCAGAAATTACAAAAATCTGAAAACAATTCTTTCAGGACCATCTAGTCTACTTAAGTCTAGAAACACAGCATCCTCTTATGTCATACATGAATAAAATGAATGCCCCACAGCTTGGCCTCCGATAAAGGACATAAAGATGTGTAACCCCTAGATGACTAAAACTCCTGTCTAAAAGTAACTCCAGGCTGATTTTTCTTTTTTTTTTTTTTTTTGAGACAGAGTCTCGCTCTGTCACCCAGGCTGGAGTGCAGTGGCCAGATCTCAGCTCACTGCAAGCTCCGCCTCCCGGGTTTACACCATTCTCCTGCTTCAGCTTCACGAGTAGCTGGGACTACAGGCGCCCCCTACCTCGCCTGGCTAGTTTTTTGTATTTTTTAGTAGAGACGGGGTTTCACTGTGTTAGCCAGGATGGTCTCGATCTCCTGACCTTGTGATCTGCCCATCTCGGCCTCCCAAAGTGCTGGGATTACAAGCTTAAGCCACTGTGCCCAGCCTCTTTTTTTTTTTTTGAGACGGAGTCTCACTCTGTCGCCCAGGCTGGAGAGCAGTGGCACGACCTTGGCTCACTGCAAGCTCCACCTCCCAGGTTCACGCCATTCTCCTACTTCAGCCTCCCAAGTAGCTGGGACTACAGGCGCCCACCACCATGCCTGGCTAATTTTTTGTATTTTTAGTAGAGACGGGGTTTCACCATGTTAGCCAGGATGGTCTCAATCTTCTGACCTCATGATCCGCCCACCTTGGCCTCCCAAAGTGCTGGGATTACAGGTGTGAGCCACCACGCCCAGCCAAGACTCCATTTCAACTAAAAATATAAACAAATATTTTCTGAGCGTGGTGGTATGTGCCTGTAGTCCCACCTACTAAGGAGGCTGAGGCAGGAGGGTCAGTTGAACCCAGGAGTTTGAGGCTTCAGTGAGCCATGATTGTGCCACTGTACTCCAGCCTATCTCTCAAAAAAAAAGATGACAAAGACCAAGTTCTTGTGTTCAGGCTGTTCCAATCCCACAGGATAGTCAGACATACACCTTACCAAGAACACCAGGTGAGACATTGTACATGGCATAAAAAGTACAGACAGTTTGAGGGCAGAGCACAAAAAGTACCTGGGTATTGTTGTACACATTGATGACATTGACTGGCCTATGGGTGTCACACACAAAGAATATAGTGTCTTCATCAGGTTGAAGAATATCCAACAGGTCTACATTAGCTCCACAGTTTATGAGAATAAAATAACGAAACTGAAAAAAAGGAAGATATTGTAAAGTAGCTATATCGAGGAGGCCCCTTTCCCTTCACCACTAAGCCTCTGAGTTGTTCTGCTTAAACTTACTAAGTCCCTGACATGTGGCGAGGCCCACGTGGCAAGGGATTCCAAAAAACGGCCAGGCTGGCATGTTAAGTGCTTTAGCATGGTGACAGAGCAGGGTGGGCCCGGGGGCTCCGTTTTCCCCAGGAGCACACTGAGACTCAGCAAGCCCAAGTCTTATGGACAGCTCAAGAAACTAATGAGGAGCAGAGCAAGGCTTCAAGCACATGATTGCGTCTCTCCAGACCTCACGGTACTATGCTGCGTGCCTCTCCAGGCTAATGGCATTGTACAGGTTTAAGTTTTCAGCAAATACTTTATGGGTACTTAAATATTAAGTCCTTTATCACACTCCATCACTATTGCATGTGCTTTCCTTATCAATACCAAGCTGGTGCGGGTCCTTGACATAACAACAGGAACACCAGGAGAGGACTTGTCTCTGCCAAAACAATCCTAGATACGGCTAGGGACTCCAGGGTCCCTCTTCCATGTCCCATCCCCTCTCTGTGGGGTCTACAATGTCCCATCTCTCATTTGGCCCCATGCAGAGGTGGGAGGAATCCTGGCATCTATTGTTTAAATTTATTCCTGTATTTCAAGTTGGAAACCAGGATGCATTTTCTTGGAGAAATAATATAAAATAGTAGTGTATTCTAAGATAATTTTAACTAATTCCAGCACTTTGGGAGGCTGAGGCAGGCGCATCACTTGAGGTCAGGAGATCGAGACCATCCTGGCTAACATGGTGAAACCCTGTCTCTACTAAAAATACAAAAACATTAGCTGGGCGAGGTGGCAGGTGCCTGTAGTCCCAGCTACTCAGGAGGCTGAGGCAGAAGAATGGCATGAACCCAGGAGACAGAGTTTGCAGTGAGCCGAGATCATGCCACTGCACTCCAGCCTGGGCGACAGACCGAGATTCTGTTTAAAAAATATATATATAGGCTGGGTGCGGTGGCTCAAGCCTGTAATCCCAGCACTTTGGGAGGCCAAGACAGGCGCATCACGAGGTCAGGAGATCGAGACCATCCTGGCTAACACAGTGAAACCCCGTCTCTACTAAAAAATACAAAAAACTAGCCAGGTGAGGTGGCGGGCGCCTGTAGTCCTAGCTACTCGGGAGGCTGAGGCAGGAGAATGGTGTAAACCTGGGAGGCGGAGCTTGCAGTGAGCTGAGATCCGGCCACG